CTTTAATTCCCCCAGGGATCAGGCGCCGCCGGGCTGTCCCCAAAAATTAAAAAAAAAAAAAAAAAAAAACTGCTTTAATTGAGAGCAGAACTGGTTTTGACCACATTGAAGAGGTGTAATTATTCTCTCTGGTGACACCTACTGACAGTTAACTCAGTATTAGTCTCATAGTACAGTATTATTTCTCTACCAGACAAATATCACCCAATGATTGGTTCTCCATTTAAACTGACCAGATTACGAAACTTCGTCGATTGGACCAAATTTTGACTGAACCAATCGCATCAATCCGATTTGTCGTCGGCGTTAAGATCGTCTTTGAGGGAAATTACAAGTCGACACAATTAACACCGATTGTGTCGTCCGTCGCAAAAACGTAGATGAAAGGACAAGCTAACCCTAAACCTAGTGGTGGCCTTAAATAGTGCAGCCACTCTGGTTTGATGTTGTGATATCGTAAATATTTGCTTGCCTCAGACGGAGTAACGCCTTCGCTCTGTCCCACTTTGGTCTGAAAGACTGATCTCCTCCCTTTTTCTGATTCACTGACTGTTCGTCCCTGGGGTGGTTTTTTTTTTTTTTTTGGGTTGCCTCTTCACCCTCACTCCCCACGCCCCAATATCTGTCAATACCCCCCAACTCCCCACCCCTTCTGTGTAAGTCAATAGTAGGCAGCCTACCATCTGTGGGAATCGACACCGCTGCTGAATCATACTATTAAAGTGCTTGTCCAACTTTCTTTCCACGGCCTCCGTCCGCACCCTCTCACCCCTGTCCCCCCTTCTCACTCCTCCCCCCAGTCTTTTTCCTGGAGCTGGGCTCGGCGGAACATGTCCTAACCTACTGCCAGAGATTCTTGAGACATTTCTGCCAATTAGGGCTAAGGCCATGTTCATGAGTAGAAAATAGCACGGCAGTGGACTGGTGCAAGTGCTGTAGTAAGAATAAAACTGGACCAGGAGCCAACTGGAAAACTAGTGCTAAATGATAGCATGCTCCACCGACCGCTCATATGCTATTTATACGCCCATCTGGTTCTGAAGCCTTGGGATTTTGGGAGTTGAATAGATGGCCTGATGGTTTGAAACCCTGATATTTACAGTACTGACACTGTCTGCAGTTTAGCTCCGGTTTTATTTATAAAACTCATTTTTAGGGAAAAAAAAGAAAAAGAGTTTCATTTGTTTTGGTGTTTTGGGATTTGTCACTGACAGTGAATTTTCTAGGAATGAATAACTGGAAAAAGTATGACTGACACAACAGTCATACAGATTGTTCAGGACTGTAGTCTGGTTATTATTGTTGAGGACAACGAGTACAAGGGACTGTCAAGATAAACAGTAAAGACCAAGTCTGTGAAGAGACATTTTTCAGTTGGACTTTTGTTTATTTTTTTTTTTTTACATTTTTCCACATTAATAATTCCATTGTTTGGGTTGGTCACAAGTAAAAACAGTTGTGAAACACTGACCTCTATCTGCAGATATTGGATCTTTCTGTTCCAGCGGGATAAGGAAAAATGTTCACGTCATATTTAGGAACGCTGATTAATCTACAGCTAAGAACTCAATTGACAGCCCATGGTTTAACAATTCTCGGTTGCGTGTTTGTAGACGCGGTGACCGGAGACATTATGAACGAGGACGGCCAGGACTTTTTCAGACCTTCGTCAGGGACCGTCCTCTTTCATGTGTCCACTGTTTATATGCGGTCTATCTGACGGCCGGCAGGTCTTTTGTTCTTGACCTGTCAAACTTTACGACTTCACACACGGAGCGAGGGCGTGAGGCGATGGGACAAAGGTTACGCAGAGCCCTGGAACATGAATGCTGCGCCTCTTTATTATTTATTTTTAATATGTAACTTTTTTTATACTTCCTGTTGGATTTTATTACCTATCGTCAGCTGTGTGATCATTTCCCTGAGGGCTGTTACACTGACTGACTTTAATGGTCCAATAATCAATCTGTTCATCTTGTTTCCTCTGGTTGAAGGAGTGGGTGTGTTCTCAGAGGTTTGCTGGTTTGAATCTCACCTTTCGTAGTTGCCTTTTGGCACCGTGGCTGCTCTGCTCGTTTGAAAACTGGGCTTTATTTGTTGAGTTTGCTTGAACACAGACCACATTTTTAAAATTTTTTTTTTTTTAATTATCATAAATGACCTCTAGTTCACCCGCCTGAAACTTCATGTCATAGCTGGACCCACTACTGACTGATATGAGGCCTGAGATGTCTGTAAGTCAGTATTACTGACATTAGGGGGTTCCCAAAGTTGGGGGTGGGCCCCCTGGGGAGTGCACTGTTTTGCATATGGGGGCTTAGCAGTTTATTTTCAATTTAGCTTTTTCTGATTGGTTGAGTGGAATATTTACACTGCCGTAAAAGGAGTCAAATACTGCGACGTTTGTCTCTTTGAACTCTTCAGTAAAGTATCTTTATTCGCTAATTGACAAAGTTACTGTAGTTGGACAAACACAGGCATCTGCAGTGACTCCTTTGTTCCCGTTTCTTCTGCGTCTCGGTCAAATCCCAGATTTGAGATCAGCTGTTTGACGACTCTCTTCCACAGCAGCTCCTTAAACAAATGTTTATTTATTGGTGGCTTTAATGTCGTCTCGTAAATTATTTCCTGCTCCTCCCGTGTCACTTACTCCCAGTTACTCTTGGAGGACAGTTGTGAAAACATCAATGGTGACAACAGAGGAACAGAGGCCCCCGATAGCTGACACCTCTGGCCTCTAATGGAGACGCAGTGTGAAGAGAGTTTTCTGCCACTGCTGAGTTGTCACCGGGAAACCGGTGCGCTCGTCCCGGGCCTGATTAATGGCGCTGTCTGCTGGGCCTCGCAGGGGAAGAGCAGGGCTGTTTTCCCATTCGCCAGAGGCCCCCTGTTTTATTTGCCCGCAACAGATGGACCCCCCGGGGCCCCTGGCTCGTTTGCTCCTCCTATGCCTTCTGTGCTCAGCATCCTTCGTCTTAATCAGTGAAAGTTCTTGAGCTGGACCACCTGACCTACAGGTGACCTCTGT